TATATATATATACTTACCCACATTATTCACTAACTGTTGAATGTTTTCCTTGCCTGCTGGCATTACCTGCTGTAGGTTTGCTGTTTTGCTAAGAGTAAAGCAAAGTTTGTTATGGCTACAGTGTAGTATGTAGCTCAGTCTATATTATGAAATCAATAATATATAAAGCAATTAGCAGTTCAGTGTGTTACAATCTCTGTTGGGCTCATTACTAAAAAAATGTAATATATTATTACTCTTTTCAAAATTAATATTATTACTTCCTGTCTAAAGTAACCTGTGATGCTACTCATTCTTTTACTTTTCGGTTTCAACCCCAAGATAGGAAATTGCATCCTTTCTCCTCAAAACATGCCTTCTAGCTGTGAGAATGTTGGGCTAATCACCCGGAAGTACAGCTAAGATTTCAAGCTAGCATTTTTGGGGGGGCACCACTTTGCCCAGAAAACTGTTCCAGTCACAAATTCTTTGGTATTTTCACGTTTATTTCTTTTGTTTACATTGCACCCCAGAATTCATTGGTAGTCTTCAAATTTCATAATGCCATATACACAGTCAATACATCCAGTGCCTAAAGCAGCAAAGCGACCCCAAAACATCAGTGAACTTCCACCATGTTTGACTATAGGGACCGTGTTCTTTTCTTTGAAGGCCTCATTTCGTTTTCTGAAAACAGAAGAATGATGTGCTTGACCAAAAGGTTCTATTTTAGTCTTATCTGTCCACAGGACATTCTCCCAGAAGGATTGTAGCTTCCTCAGGTAAGTTTTTGGAAACTCCAGCCTGGCTTTTTTTATGTTTCTGTGACAGCAGTGGGGCCCCTGGGTCTCCTACCCTTGTCATTCAGATAGTGATACATTGTGCAAGCTGACACTGTTGCACCCTGTGCCTACAGGTCAGCTTGAATTTGTTTGGAAATTGATTGAGGCTCTTTAGCCACCATTCGAACAATCCTTCGTTTCAATCTGTCATCTATTTTTCTCTTTGGTCCGTGTCCATGGAGATTAGTTCCAGCACCATGGGCTGTAAACGTCTTGACAATGTTGCACACACTGGACACAGGAACAACCAGATCTCTTGAGATCTCATGAGATTGTCCAGGCTTTTCCACTACTGTGGTTCTCAAATCCTCAGACAATTCTTTGCTCTTCCTTCTTTTCTTCATGCTCAGTGTGGTCCACACGACACAAAGGTTGAGTCAGCTTTTCTCCATTTTAACTGGTTGCAAGTGTGAATTCTATGTTGCCAACACCTGTTGATTGCTATGGGTGAGTTTCATTACAAATTAAAGGAGCATCACATGCTTGAAATACAACTATTTCTGATGATTTTGAAAAGGTGTCAATAATTCTGTCCAGTCCATTTTTGGAATTCTGTATGCAATGTGTCAGATTTGGCTTTTTTAAATTCTATTTTGTGTTGTTCCAGCGCAAACAAAAGAAGTAAACATGAGCATACCAAAGAATATGTCATTGCAACAGTTTTTGTGGAGAAGCAGTGCCTTACCTGACAGAAATTCAGGTGTGCTAATAATTGTGGCTATGACTGTAGGCACTTCTATTTTCCAAGCTAGCAACAGTATTTATATATATATTTGTCATCATGATTGCACACATCACTAGCAGTACCACAGGCTTACTGCTTATGCTTATGCTTATGGTGATGTGTTCAGTCGTGATGACAAATATTAAATGTTGGATTTCAGATCAATCTTTGATGTGGTGACAGCAAAAGTAACATTGTAAAAAGTTGTTTTTAGAGGGAGTAACTGTAATATTACTGAAATTTTATTTGTAACTTTTTACACTACTCGTTATTGGGGAAAGTAATATTGCAGTAATGCGTCACGGCCCAACACTGGTTACAACACAGCATATTCACACCTCCAGTGTTATTCTTAATATCCTTGGTAACTGATTTAGTATAAAGAATTTATTGAACTTTTTAAAAGATAGTCTTTGTTCTCAGTTGTTCCAACATCAGACTTAATTTGTAGCATTGAAAATAATGTCCTACACAGATCTCAAATAATGTTCTGCATAATTAGCACTTTTGTTAATTAGTTCATTAATTGATTGCACCTGGCATCCCAGGTCTAATTTAGTCATTGTATCATCAGTATGAGGCCAGATTGAAAGCCAGCAGGTCTCTATTCACTGTCTTATAGAGTTTGCCAGATAAGAAGTGTCTTTTCAGACACTTAGTAAACTTTTTAGTTTACTTTCCTTGAGGGAACATTATCTCAGTGTTGATTGTATCAAATAAATGGCAGAATATAACACATAAAAATCACTTTTGGTTTGCTTTATCACTCACAAGAGAGGCTCTAGAGGTATAATGAAGATATTTGAAGATAAGCGGGTTGCAATTGTCAGTTTGAAAGGAAAAATAAAATACTGTACTGTTTTGAATAGAGTAACCGATATGGTTTTGAAGCAGAGTCCTTTGTGATAGCAACATGGCTGTGTGCCTTTGTTGGATGGTTGTCTAATTACTTACAAATATGTAAGAGAACTACATGACATGGTGTTTATGAAATTCAAGATTTTTAAAAATATTTCAATAAATGTCAGTCTACATACATACATTGTTTTTAACAAACTGAGATGCATTTTAAATCACCAAACCTCTAAACAAATCCTAGGATATTATTTTTTGCTTATTTTACAGATGTTTAAAAGAGAAGAAGAGGTTAGATCAAGAAGTTCTCAAGATGGTCATTTTTCTGAGCTCTTTCAAAAAAGAAACGTATAAGCTTAAGGTGATCTTTACAGTAACCTCCAGTCACCTCATTAGCAAGAAACA